TGGCTAGAGGGGCCTTGTCCTAGGACCACCTCACAGCCACGCTCCATCAAAAATGAACTGTGCACTGAGTTTCCGTCTTCGCCACACCTCAAAAGTCAGGTTCCTTTAGCAGTGAGTTGGTGTCAATGACCTCTGGTTGACACTATTAGAACCCAATTTATGGTCTAATGTTTGCCAATGTTATTCACCATGAAGTACAAAATATTTTTTTGTGAGCCCTATGCAGTGGGAAGGTGTGTTTTCAAGTTAAAAATAATACCTGATGTTAACCAAGCACTTGCTCTGGGCTCGGCAGCGGCCTACGTTTGGGAGCTTCACTCACTCCTCACCCAGTGAAGTATCACCAAACCCACTTTTCTCAGGCGGAGAAAAGAAGGAAGAGAGCAATCAGATGAACTTCCTTAAAGTCACCCAACTAGTAAGTAGTCAAATTAGAAAAAGAACCAGGAAATGTGGTTTCAGAATTCCCGCCTATTAACATTATAGCTGATTCTTACATTTTATTCATATTTTATGGAAAAGAATGCATTAAGTAAAACGGGAAAATTGTAATACCAATGGATTGGCCGCTTTGATTGGAGTAAAGAAAATAAATATTTCCAAATAAAATTCTGGTGCTGGCTCACATGGAAACCATAAATGCACAGCATGCTACGAAATAGCTTCAATGTAGTTATTTTTATTATAATCAAGAACTTGAAAAATATGGTAGAATCTCTGCAATATTTTCAGTAAGATTCTAAGAAAGAAAACATTTTACACCACACAGAGACATTCATCTTGTGACAAACTATTTAAAAATTTGTTGATCTTAAAGATATTCTTTTTTGTTTTTTAAGCTAAAAAACACCTGTTTCTGACACAGCTCAGTTGCTTGGGCATCGTCCCGCAAAGCAAAAGGTCACCGGTTCGAGATCCCTGGTCAGGGCACATGCCTGGGTTGCAGGTTCGGTCCTGGGGCAGGCAGCTTATGAGAAGCAACAAACTGATGTTTCTCTCACACATCAATGTTTCTCTCCCTTTCTCCCTCCCTCCTCTTCTCTTTAAAAATATGTATCATATTTTTTCAGACCATAAGACACACCTAGGTTTTAGAAAATAGGAAAAAAATTTTTTGAAGCAAAAACTGTGGTAAAATATTAAATAACATAAATAACATAGTATTTCACCCATGTAAATGTAAACAGAACTCAACAGCAGCATTAACAACCATTATTCCTCCCAAATTTGGGGGCAAGGTAGGGGGGAGGGGCACGCCCAGGAGACTCGTGTCTTATATTCCGAAAAATAGGGTAAGTAAAATCTTTAAAAAAAAAAAAAGTTATGTCTCAACTAAAAGACCTCTCTGCATAAACTTGGGAGAAAGCCATCGGAAATGTAGCACCTGTGCTGGGACAGGCTCAGCCGGTGAGGCGCTTCCTCCACTCCAGCTTGTGACGTGTCTTTCTGGCCCCCCCCCCCCCGTTTTTTAAAGCTTTATTGAGGTATAACTGACATACAATAAAACTGCACATACCGAAAGCGGACAAGCTAAGTTTCACAGAGGTACACGGCAGAGAAATCACTACAGTCCAGAACTCTTTCAGTTTCAAGCCATTAAATACAACAATGAAACAAATAGACCTTCGTACCATACTTCCTCGTTGCCGTCTCAATGTTAAAACCCAATTAAAAAATGATAAGGTAAAAATAACTAACTAAATAAGGTGTGGGGGAGCGTGACTCTCCTCTCCTTAAGTCGGGGGGCACACAATGACCCCCTTCCAAAGACAAGGCGGGCAGCAACTTCCCAGCGCAGACACTAACACCGTACCCAGGACGGACTGGCCTCGGTCACCTGGCTGAGGTGATCTCTGTTTAACTAAGACTAGTAATATTTTACCGGACCCCAAAAGCTTGGTACCCTTCATAAACTTCAAGTGGAAAAATCATCTTTTTATATTCCTCAAGTTTTTATTTATGGTAGGACACATACATATTTTTAAAATAAGTGTACATGTAAGGTATGTGCTAAAAACGTTCTCTCAATGGAGGCTGTTGCTCTAATCATAAGGAGCCACTGATCTTCGTATTTTAACTTTACCCAGACCTGGATGAACTTGGCCAGAGGAACATACGAAGATTTCTCAAGAAGCCATGCCCCATCCATTTCTAGGGAAAACATTAAGTTCAACTACGCCCCGGCCCCATTCTCTGCAGCCAGGGCCACTGCCTAGTGGGAACGCACTCCTAGTCTGCGACTGTTGAGGTTCACGCGGTGTAAGTACCCACCGAGGACAGTTTCTCCATTTCCATAGTAGGTAACAAGGCAAGAGTTCTCCTTGCTTTGTTTTTTAAGGTTTTTATTTATTTTTAGAGAGAGGGGGGAGGGAGAGAGAGAGAACCATCAATGTGTGGTTGCCTCCTGTGCGCCCCCAACTGGGGACCTGGCCCACGGCCCAGGCATGTGCCCTGACTGGGAATCGAGCTGGTGATCCTTCAGTTTGCAGGCCAGAACTCAAGCCACCGAGCCACACCAGTGAGGGCCGTTCTCCTTGTTTTAAAAGAACTTTCTCTTTAGTCCCAGTAAAGAACCTGTTGTTGCACACGCCACAGACTTTGGCTCTGCACTGAACAGTCTGGGACTTTGTTACCACGTTACAACTGTAAAATGACAGGACAAGCCATAAGGGCCCTTCTGGTTCCTCTCATCCACTTTGTGTCCCTGGCTTCTAATGAGTGTAACACAAAAGTCAGTATATTCCTTTGAAGTGGACCCCTGGACCTGCCTGAATCTTATGGACTTACCACATCCCTATCTGGGTCCCCTAAAATAAGAATGCGACTCTGGTTTCAGTGTCACAGCAACTGAAACCAGAGTGGACTACCAGGACACCTGAGCCACCTCCGATTTGTAACTGCGAGCAGACAGGGGGGTAGGAGAGCTTTGTACAAAGTCAGCCGGCACCTGGGGCTGATAGCAAGGTGGGCAGGGCCGCATTCCACAGGCAGCAGAGCTGTATCACCAAGGCCGAAACCAGATGAGTGAGTTTCTCTCTGTACCTGATGAGGGGACAGTGTGGTGCTGGTGGAGGGCCAGGCCTGCTCACCAGCCCGACTTACATAATCTCCGTGGCATTTTCTTTAAAAATTAAAAAACAAAAAAACCTTTCCCTGTAACGTAGCTACCGTATCCACAGACGTCTGTGAATCTAGGGTGAGAGAGCTATGCAAGCCTGGTTGCCAAGACCTGCAACTCTAACCCTGAACGCCTTGCCAATGCCCCCACTGGGTAACGAGCATGTAAGCAAGAGCCCCATGCGAGGTCACCAGCCCCGCATTTCTCCCAACAGGAGTGTTGGCGTCGGAGCAAAGTTCCAACGCTGCCCCGTGCACACACAGGTCCTACCGGCCCTCCGCAGCTCACAAGATGACCTGGTCCTCCAGGGCCGGCACACGCGTGCTGAACAAGGGGCTGACTGACAGAGCTGGGGCGGGCCCTCTGGGGAAACCTCAGCGCCCCACACCAGGAGAAAAGCCATGCGACGAAGGTTAGCACGATGAAGCGAGGCACTGCCTGGAAAGCGGCTGGCAGGGGGCAGGCACTGCAATCAGCGAAGCCAGTCTGTTGCACTTGGAACAACAAATGCTAGAGCCATCCTTCCAGCTGATTTTGCACATGGTTAAGTGCAACACACATTCTGGCAGAAAGTGGATCCAAAAAAATTTTTAAGTTTCATCTCTACCTTCCTGCCAGCACCTTGACTGGCCATTGCAAGGAGGAAGAGGTAGATGAGGAAGTGCTGACGGTTACAGAGAAACGGCCTGCAGAACTGGTTCGTCCCAATGTGCTTCCTGGTCAGGGGCTCTTAAAATGCACACTCCCTGCTGCAGTATTCCAGGGAAGATACACCACATATGTGCACACACAACAGACACACATGTACACGCAGACATACGCAATGTTAACTGGACCATGTGTGAACTGGCATTACACTGAACAATACTGAAGACTGTGAGATTAGCTCCTGATTTCACTCTTGCATGCATGGCGGGACATGAAGGACTCAGATCTCCAGTAGAAACCTCCTGTGTACACAGTGCTGTGAGCAGTGGGCAGGTGACCCTCCTCCAGTGAGAACACATCGCCCCCTAGTGACAGGTTATTTCAGACACAAATGGAAATACTGAATGTCAACTCTAACTGAAAATTTAAAAGCAAGCAAGCAACTCAGAAAGGAAGGCTGCAAACATGTCTCTGAAAAATTCAGCCACAAGCTCTACTCACTGTTTCCAGCAACAGTAAATCTCATATTAATAAATTTTGCTGAACAAAACTCTTGGCTGACTTTCTGTCTTCTATTTTTTTGGCAAACTTGTACTTTATTCTTAAGTTTGATCAAACAAATGACCACTACACATTTATAGGAGATCAATAACTCAGAAAAAAACAGGTAATTTAGAAAAATATTTAAAGATTTATTTATTTTTAGAGACAGGGGAAAAGATAAAGAAGAGAAAGAGAGAGAGAAACATCGATCGGTTGCCTCTCACACATGCCCCGCCTGGGGACCAAACCCACACCACAGGCACGTGCCCCGACCAGGAGTCAAACCTTTTACTTTTGTGAGACAATGACCTACCAACTAAGCCACGCTAGTCAGGGCAAGAGAAGAAATCTTTAAAAACTCTAATGTATCAACTCTGATGGATTTACCATCATAAAAAGAAATGTTAAAAGAAAGCAGCTCTTATGGAATTTTCAAATAATTACAAAATGCCCTAGAAACGCTGGAAGATAAAGGAAAAGCAATCATTCGGGTTCAAGGTCAAACCAATTAGAATGTTATAAAATATAAATTCAAACTCAAGAGTCCACCCTGCTCGAGCAGACCAACTCCCGCTCTGCCCGCACGCAGCCCGGCGACCCCTCGGGGAAGGAAGATGCCCGCCTTCGCGGAGGCAGGGGGCTGAACCACCACCAGGGGGCAGCGCCGGGACAATGAAACAAGGAGTCATGGTGGAAGTTAGAGTATTTATTGATGTGTTTAAACTCTGTACATTCTCCACAGATCAGATTACGGAGTCTGTAGGTGAAATCTACCTGTGCATAGTGGGTGACTATGGATCTTTAAAGAGAGACATGGATAAGGGGAAGGGGAGGAAAGAAAAACAAAACAGTCACAGGGAAATAGAAAAAAATACACCACAGGTTACCAGAACCTTCAGAATAAAAAAAAGCAAAAGCCGTGAGCATCAACATCAACTATACAAGCATTACAGAGATTCGTGTGAAGGGAGGGAAGCTCTCCAACGCTCCGCGTGGTGTCTACAGGCCGTCTCAGTGCTCTCCCGCCACGCAACGCGAGCCTCCCCTGGTCTCTCCTGGGCCACCAGCCTCCTGCAACCGCCGTCTTGAGTGCACACCAACATAAGGCTGGTGACAGGAGAGGGAGGGCAGGAAAGGCAAGGTACAATGGGGAGGGACGAGGGTCAGTGCCTTCAGAGGGGAACGTCCAGAAAGGTGAAGACTGCACATTCGGACACTACCTGGGAGGGAAGCGAGCTGTAAAAAGCTGTGGTAAGTAAACGGTGGACAGCGAAGAAGGTCATACACAAACTACTGGCTACTATCTGTGGAAGAACTGGCTTGAGCAGGGAAGCGGCAGTGGACGCCCTACTCTGTATACATCAGGCTAAAGGTGCTGGGAGGCGCGTGCTTTCGACCTCCTTGGTGCCGGGGCTCGTGTGGAGACACCCAGGCACCCAGCAGTGGGAACACCGGACTCCCAAGAAACTGGTCCTTTAAAATGATTTCGAGAGGGTATCAAGCTGTGCTTCAATGGTCTTACCGTTCCCTGTCTCCCTCAGTTTCTCAGCCGCCTTCTGAGAGCTCCTTTAGGAAAGAAATACTGCCTTTTTACTTATGTTTAAAGAAAAACCAGGACAGTGAGTGAGCCTCAGTTGACTTATGCAACGCAAGCAGGAGGACCGGCCTGCAGAGCCAGCCTATCACTGCACGCGGACACGCCCGAGTCCACGGAGAGCTCGGGTAGGACCACGTGAGAGAGGGGGGGTGGCCAATTCACTTAAAAAAGAAACTACGGCAGTCAAGTATCTGCAATAGACCACTTTCTCATTTAAGGTTTATATATCATATATTGTTATATTAACATTTTCTTCGCCCACTTAAAAGAACAGAAATTGTGACTCTACAGTAGTGCTTGACAGTCTCGGTGGTCCCAGAGGCCTGGGTGGAAGGCGAAGTCCTCCGGGAGGAACTGCTGGTCAGCAGTCGATCCGAAACGCGGGCCCTCTCCGGCCCTCCGCACCCCCACTGAGGCGGGGAGGGAGGAGCTGCGCCTTCTCCCACTTACACCTGCATCTGCTCGAGATATTTGTAGGTCGGGTTTTCGTAACCGTGGTTCTGCATCTTGTTCAGGTGACGCTCCTCGGGGGTGAGCATTGGGTCGACCTGGAGGGGCGCAGACTGTGTATCACTGCAGGGCCCCCGGAGAATGGCACAGTGCTCAGGGGACCTGAGCCGTTTGCTGTGCAATCCCCTAGGGACTGAAACCAGCCCGGTGTCCTATTTCCAAGTTGGAATTTCCCAGTCCAAGTTGGAGAAAACAGTGAGCTGGATTTCCTAGCTCCACAGTAACAAGCACGTCTCAGTCCTGCCACCTGCCACCTAGGACAGTCCAGGTGAGTGTCCCTACAAAACACAGAACGGGGCCGGATGACCTGCAGTGTGCCAGCCAGCCCTGGAATTCTAAAACTAGGTCTGTGTCCAACAGGGAATAAAACCAAATACCTAAGGCGAGCATCTGAACTAACTCTCCAGAGCACACTACACTGTTTACTGTATTCATTTTCTAGAATCAGGAGACTCTGGACATTTCTACTGCCCATCAACGATGAGTGCTAAGCAGTTCTAATTACAAATCAGCAGAAAATAAAAGAGAAACAGCCTCCTCCAGTTCTTTCTAAACTTCCTGTTGCTTTTCCCCTTGATTAAAAAACAGTAATATTAGTCCTGGCTCCTATCTCGAAGACTTAATTCACTGCTGGTTGCCGCTGTTGCCTGATGTGTCACAGACCTGGTTTGTTCCTTAGCAAACAAGTCAACGACAACAAAGAAGGGGAGTATTATAGTCCTCTGTCCTCAAGTACCTAATATAACTTAAAAAAGAAAACGCTGAGGAGCTCAGAAAAAGCTTTCAGCCTCTGCAAACATAAAATGCCCTTACGATTCTACGAAGCTCAAATTAATGTTGGAAGTCAGCAACAGCCCCTCGTCATAGAATCAACAGAACCCGGCTGGGGCTGACTTACAAAACGGGGCCCCGGGGAGCAATGTAACTGAAGTGGCACACCCAGAAGTACCACATGTGAATTCCACAAAGCTCCTGCCAGCAGCAAGGAAACCCTCGCTCAGGGCCAAGTCGGAAGAAGACCCAGCTACTCACCTCCACGATCCCATGGCTGATGGTGCCATACTGCCTCTTCCTCAGCATCACCAGGCTGATGACTATGACCGTAGCAATGGCCACCGCAATGACCAACAGGCCAATGAGGGCGCTGCTGCTCAGACTGAAGTCATCTCGCAGTGGCGCCACAGATTCCTAAAATAACAAAGCAGATGTGCAACAAAGCACAGTGACCACGTGCACGATGTGAACACCAGCAACTGAGAGACAAGCAACTCAATCAGGGCCAAGGTCCCTCAGTCGTGTCTCTCAAACCCGAGGGAACTCCCAGCGCCACCTTTCCCAGTAACCATCAATGGGGGGGAGCCCCCACTTTCCCAGTCTCCATGGAGATTAGCCTGGCATGAGGTTCGGGAGCTGCACACATACCGGCTCTTCCTCAAGGCCGCCAACTCTCTCGGAATTTAAAATCATTTCCTTAACATCCAGAGTCTCATCAATGACCTGGAACAGTACGAACATGTCAGTTACTGGGTGGAAGAGGAATTTAGTGTAACTACAACTCCTTTTACTACTTGGAGGAGGGATGCAGACACCCGACAGACATCAACAACCCCGGCAGTTCTGTCACATTTCCCCAGACCCAGTCACCAAAGCCCCCAGGAAGGAGACCCTGTGGACGCACGGCCACTGCAACGCAACAGGGGGTCCTTTAAGGGCCTTTACCTGCACTTTCGTCAGGTGGCTGTCATGAAAAAAGATCTTAGGGCAGATTACCAAGAAGCCAAGCTGAACTATCAAACTCAGTTAGGACTAGTCCAGAAATGTGATAGACAGAGCTAGAATAGTAACTATTTAGGAGGTATAAACCTGAGGCTGTGTAAGAACCAAAGCCAGCTCTACTCCAAGTTATGAAATTTCTACTCACTCGAAAATGGCCTCTCGCATTTTAGTCATCTCGTAAGCTGCAAACATATTTTCCCACTGCATAGCAAAAAATAAGCTACTGCCGAAAAATAGTTCTTTACTCCATCTTATACCCAGATGCTAAACAGTACGGCAAGCCTGTGGGAGCAGCTGGAGCCCCCCCCCCATACAGCGGTTCATCTGGAAAGCATCTGAAACAACGCCACTCACTCTGATCTTCCTCAAAATCAAAGCAGGGCAGGAGAGAAGAGAGAAGGGGCTCACCATGTTTTCGTCCACTTTGTTCTTACTGTTAATCACCTTCTCCTCAGCACCTATCAGCCCTCCATCCTGCTCACCCAATCCAGAGCCTGTGAGGAGAGAGACCGAGGCTGAACTTCCCAGCACAGGCTGACCTCATGCTTCTGGGTGAGGCAGCGAACTCCCTCCGGGGGGCAGAGAACCCCCACTGAATTCTCTATGGATGGATGAAACAGGCATTTTTCAGAGTGCCGATGGGACTAACGAAGCAGAGCTGTACTGCGCTTGCTTGTATCCACTTGGAGAGATGGGATGCAAGGCTTCGGCAGACAGTGTTTATTGTAAGTGACAGGGAAGCTGAGTCCGAAGGCGGTCTAGCGTGGGACATGTGCAGTGCCCTAGCTGACATGACTGAGCACCCCGCTATTACCCTGCCAGTCACTCCTTCGACGCTCCGGGCTTGCTTCGAGTGGACAACGGTCAGACCAGCAATGAATCGGCATATCTGCCTTGAGCGTGACATTTTATCCCAGAGGCCAGCCATTCTTTCTGCCTGAAATAACCTCCCTGACCTTGAACCCAATTTGTCCTTCAAGCTACAGCTGCTCTTGGAGACAGCCCCGGGTTATAACACTGAAAACCACCATCTGGAATTACTGATTTCCCACTGCGTTTCCCACTAGGCTATAACCCTCTCAGGGCCCAGATCAGAGATGGCCACATCCTCGATGCTTATCAGAGAATAAACAGGAAGGACACATTTCACATAAACGCAGAATCCCAACACCAGGATGGAAGGTACCTTTCTATGTATACGGGCAAGAACAGCAATTCGCCTCTTGGCAAGGTCAGGTGTGGCCTGAGCCGACGTCACGGGTGCGTGGCCCTCTAAAGACGCAGCGTGACTGAAGCCAGCACTACCCCAGCAAGAGGAAAGTGAGGAGCAATCCTCTTTATTTTTAGCTCCAAAGCGTGTGACTTCCAGCTTTCCTACACTTCATTTTCTTGTTAATAATAACCTATACAGCCCTATGCAAACATCTATGATTCGAACCTCTTATAAACAGATCAACCTGACAGGATACTTGGCATTCAAAGGGACCACCTGCAAGTGAGCGGCATTCAGACACGAGCGTGTGCAAAGCGCTGCTATGCCTGGCTTGCCAAGGGCAGGCAATGAGATGACACCAGCCAGCCACAGCGGAGCATCCGGCTCACAACCAGACTTGTTCTCAACACGGAGCAATTCCTAACAGCCACTGCAGTTGCTGGCCCTGCAGGCCAGGTGATGCAGCCCCTCATTAGATCGCAACCAACAATGACGCCATTTTTTCTAAAGCTTTTGTTTTAAAAAATTATCTCTTTTCTTGACCTAATGCTAGGGCAAGTTAAACCAGGGCTGGCATTTATAGTCTCAAATGCCACGCGGCAACCCAACTGTCTGAGGGGGAGGCACGGGGCTGCTGCAGCAAGGGTGCGGCACCCACGTGCAAGCCCGATGCACCGCAGGCCCGGGCGCCCTCCCTCCATTTTTCTCAGGAGAAGGGCAGGATCCTATCTGATAAGTGATGTGGCACTGGACCTACTCCTAGTCTGGATGGTTCTAATACTTTTTTAGTTCTATAACCCACATGTTTCTTAAACACTAACCAAAAACATTTTCATTGTAAACAATACATAAACCAGTGGTTTAAGAAACCGAAAGTTAATGTTTAAATTATCCCAACTAATCATAGTTGAGGTATGAGAGTAAAAGGCAGTTAACCTAAAAATTTCATCTTGATCTACAAACATATTAAACTTGATCTGTAAACATAGTAAGATGTGCTGTTTGGAGAAATGTTAACACAGTGACGAAGAGCGACATCCTAGTAGAAGATGACAGAGCATTAGCATAAAAGCAAGTGTGAGAGGATTTCAATCGTACTCTTGGGTTCTGAGAAGCAGCTGTGGCACAGCCACCGCCACATTCTCCGCCAGAGGACACCACCTAGACTGGCCACCACCTGCCTGCAAAGCCAAGAGCAGGCCTGTAGGACACACACTCAGAACACAAAACATCTGAACCGACTCCAGGGACTGGACAACCCAACCCCCCCCACCCCCCGGGGAAGCCCGGCAGCCAACACCAGCATCTTGTCTAACACAAACAGCGTGAGCTCTGAAGACAGAGGGAGCTGGGCTCAAATTCTCACTTCTCCGCCCACGAAGTGCACTGCTTGAGCGAGTTCTGTCACCTCTAAGGCTTCTTCCACTGCCTCAAATACAGAAGAGCAAACCCCCACCGACAGTGGTGTCAGCGGGCGAGCGAGAGCAAGGAGGCCGGGGCGCCGAGCACAGCACTCACGTGATGCCAGCCCCGAAAGCCGCACGCACTACAGCGAGTTCACCCGTCTTGGCCATCAACTTTTAGTGCGTTTGAATCAATGCTGTAACTTGGGACATGAGACAACCGGCAATAGACACATGGGTACAGACAAAGGGCAAGGGACAGCTAAAAAAGGCAAAGATGTAAGTGGGAGCAGCAGCAAAGAAATAAAGGGGAGATTAGGGGACAGAAACTTTTCCACCTGACTGGAAATTAAGCATATTTGTTTGCATACGAGCCATTCCCAACCAGCCTTTTACACTGGATACACTTCTGAAAGTCCACCCAGAGTAAAAAGACTCAGGAAGGACCCACTGTGGTTACTTGGGTATCTCTGGACATCAGAGGAAAGCTCAGCGGCCACCGTGTAGCCGCATCACAGACACTGGATTCTGGAGGCTGGGGACGGGGCTGCTCGGGCCCCACCCACAGCTGCGTCTGAGGAAATGAGGTGGGAAAAAGGTCGGTGATGTTATGAAACAGAACATGAGACTTCGGACACATGGGGAAGTGACAGGAATGAAGGTCTTAGAGGGAACATTGCTGACAAACCAACCTTTTTTCATTGGGTGGTACAACTCCGGCTGGGTGTCTAGCAGAAAGGAAAACAATAAAAACAAAATAGCACAAAAGGAGATTAAGAAAAAAAATGGCGTCTTTCAAATTTCCTATTTTAGAATTCTTCTATAATGTGAACAAAAAATATTCTTCCTTAAAAGCCTTGCCTGAAATATCCCATAAACAAACCAGCAGTGATGACTGGACGGTAGGAGGGAAAGAAGTCTGTCTTGGGTCTTTCGGGGAAATTTTTGTCAGACTCCCAAATTATTCAGCTTAGCCACGAAGTTTCTTCTCTTAGAAAATAACACACTCAAAAGTTAGTGGTTTTCTGAACGGGAGGCAGAGCCCTGGCTCAGACAGGCCCAGACCAGCTGGGCAGGCCTGGCCCCCAGACAGCCGCACAGAGGCCGGGCCCGTAAGAGCGGCGTTAGGGAAGCACCGTCTTTGTTACCCTCCTTCCTCAGACTCTGCTATGTCACTGCAGGCACACCTGGTTCAGAAGGCCATTAAGGTCTGAAGACTAAGCTGGAGGCCTCCCCCGTCCCCAAGCGGTGCCTTCCTGGGTCCAGCACTGAGGCATCAGTTAGAGGCAAGTGATTACACAGAACCACAGCACCAAATCAGCCTGGGTTCAGACCCTTACTCTCTACCTACATACAAGCTACAGGACCCTGGGCAGACTTAACCTCTTTAAACCTTGGAACCCCCACATGAGAGAACTCCAGTAGAGTGTTCTTTTGAGGATTCACTGAGAGCATTCATAAAGCTGGCCCTCGACAGGACCTGAAACCACAGTGAGCCACGCCGTTCCTGCGGCCAGCCGCTCCATTCCCCAACTCCCAAGGCTGTTGTGAAAAGATGCGGGTGTAATTTAACATGACGGCGCTATTTAAACTGTAAGGTGACTTCCACATGTAAGATTTTATACATGCTGGAGGTGGCTAACGGACCAGGAAAACGGGTCTTTAAGCCAACCATCTATAAAATGTGAGGGAGAGGGCTAACCTCATGGTGACACTGAAACCAAAGATCTGAGAGTGCCCACTGCAATGCCTGCACTTAGTAGGTGCTCAATGAATCAAGTTTCCCTTTCCCTGTCCAATTTTCACGAGGCACACAGCCTCCCCAACACAATCCGGGTTCAAAAAGTTGACTTCAATTTAACTGCAGTGTTCTCCCCCCCACCCCAAAGCAGTCGCACCGTGGATCATACGCACCTTCGCTCTCAGGTAAGGACGGGAAGGGGTGGAAGGGGTGGAACGGCGGGATCTCATCGCTTTCTTCGGAGCTCACCCGGATGTCCACAGGGGTCTCGGAGATAGAGGAAGTGAACTGGTCCATGTCTGCACGCTGTTCTTGAAGCAGCTCATCTGACAAACAGACACGGCAGGGCTGTCAGAAGGATCTAGATTCTAGGCGCAGGACCAACAGTCTGAACGAGACTAATTCATGGCATTAGAGAACGTGAGATCTGCAAGAGGAGCGTCCGGCCAGGTCACAACACAGTCAACCATGCCCGCAACGCCTCCCAATTCTGCGGCACTGGGAACCCCTGGGCTCCATCCTGCGCACCTCCTCCTCTCTATTAACTCACTGTTTTAGTAATTCCATGTCACAGCACATTTTTTAAGCCACCACCCACGCATCAAGACTCCCAGATCCGTCACCTTATGCCCACCACCGGAGCTCTGGCGCACAATCTAACAGCCCGCCTCGGCCTCCCTCCGCATCCAACAGCCACTTCTGTTTCAGGTGTGCGACAACGACGCTTTCGTCAGGAAAACACGGCACCAACCCCCACTCATTTGCTCCTGGTGAAAACCTGGGCGCTGATTAACCTGATGCCTTTCTCTCCCTCACCCCCCGCCCAACCCGCAGCACGCCCATTCGCCTTCTAAAACGCCTCCCTCCTGCCCCCGTATCCCTCTCAGTGCACAACCGTCATCTTTCTCCTCCATTTTTATTCTTGGGTGGTTTCCAATTCTAATCAACTTTCCACAAAGCAGCCAAGTAATTTTTAAAAAAATTTCACCTTCTTTTTAAAAGCATAATCCAGACCTAATCACTCACTAGTTTAAAAGCCTCAAACAGCATTCCCTTTATTCTAGAATAAAAGCCAAACCCCTTGATTTTGCTAAAAATCCCTTAACAAATTGGCCTCTGCCTACTTTGGCCTCATTTCTCATGACGTTCTGGCCTCCGTGAGCTGCTCGAAGGTGCTCATTTGATTCAAACAGGCCTCAGCAGCAGTCATTGCCTGTGGTGACAATGTTTCCTCCCCTTGAGACTGCAGGTGACGGCCCCCAAGACAAGCCTCCCTGGCTGCCCAGCCACTCACCACCAGCCTCCCCCAGTTTAACCTTCCCCCACAGCTCTCACCACCATCTGGTCTCATCTTCCTGTTTCTCTCCTATATAACATGAGCAGACACAATAAATATTTGTTCAATAAATGGGGGCAATAGCGACCAGAGGAGGAAAAGGAAGTGAGAACATGTGTAAAGCAGGTGCCTTGAGATATATCAACAATCAAGGGTGTGTGCGGTGGGGGGGGGGGGTAGGTAAAAGGAGACTTCCCCCTGTAGCTTGCAATTTTACACCCTCAATTTTTCTTCCGGTAACACAGTGAAGGTCAATGAAACTCAAGGCTCTGTGGCTCGTAGCCAGTAGTACTTGACCTTGACACATGAATTGTAGACTTCTGAAACCACGGGGTGCTAACGCCCAGCTTCACGGCCTCACTCATCCTGTTTCTCTAACGGCCTGGACCCTTAGCAAGAACCCCACCCGACTTTGATAGAAACAGTGTCAGCACCCACCAATCTCCTCTTGGATTTCTTGGGCTACATAAGGGACTTTGTAGAGCAGAGAGAGGCTCTGGTTCCTTCTTTCTTCGATCACGTGGAGATGTGTCATCACCTGGAAGCACAGTACAGTGGAGACTCATCAAAACAACCAGGCCGGGAGGGGCATCGACACGCACGCTCCTGCAAAGGCCAGCTGAAAAGGCACGTCTCTACAATGTCCAGCAAAGCAGCTGGTCAGGATGTATTAACCCCACGCCGTATTTGCTGACCAGTGAAGTGTGAGAATGTGTTCAGACTGTGCAATACCCCTCAGTGATCTGGGAATTTATCCAGAGTACTCCACGTTAAAAGAAAACTGAAAAATTCTCAATGGCCACCTACTGATTTGATTGTCACACGAGGAACTTACTAACCATACTGAATGAGTTAAGAAGAACCTAGCTTGTACAATGCCAGATACTCAGTAAGGTTTCTGAGTGCAAATGGGAAGGAGGTGACCAACTTTGTTTTAAAACCACTGGTCAGATTAGATGGGGTAGAGAGAATGAAATCACCGGTTAGAAAGTAGATTTGGTGAGTGAGGGGACCGCCCAGAGTTTGCTTAGTGAAGTAACCGCTTCAGAAGATTATCATGGTGACAACTAGTGTATTATTCCTCTTTAAATCAGCTATTCTTTCAACAATTTATGCAAAGTACACAAAACCTGATTTTAAGGGTTAACTATTAAAGACTTTCCTACCATCCGTCTTCCATAGTTCACTATCCTTTCTGAATGCAAAACTTCCAGGCTTGTTCACTTTTCTAAAAAAGCCTTTAAAACTGCTCCCTTACTTTCGAAGCGCTTCGGGGTGAAAGGAAAGGTGACTTAGGCTTCCACCCCAGCAGCACAGTGAGGCAGACAGGCTATTGGAAAAGGCTGTGCTGGCCAGCCACACACGCAGAGATCAAGCTCTTCCTAAAGGGGGCGATCTAAACCAACAGATTAACTCTGTGGACTCAACTCCATTAACACAAAGGGTCAAAGGTGGGGGGGGGGGCAGAGTTAAATGGAAAGATGCCTTTATTGTATACAGATTGATAGCTTTCTGACCTGTAAAAGGATGGAGCAATTTAATTTTGTATCTGCCATTCTTTCAATCAAGTAAATGGATGGAAAAGCACAAGAGTAAATCCTCTGGGAAACAATGCAAATAGAAACCAAAACATGAACCACGCACCGTCTCAGTGTGTGCTGACGTTATTATACTTCTTCAGGTGAAGTAATAAGGAGCGTCCTGGGAGAGGAAGGTCCACACCCCCACATGAGGACGCGGGCCCCAGGGCGAGAATTACTGGACACCAGCATCCGTGTGGTGACCCTCTGAGCCGCAGCGCTCACCCCCAAACCAAACCCGTGCGGTCAGCAGGCTGAACACGCTCAGGGCGCCCTGGAGCTTACACAGCAGCACAGGGAACCAAAGGTTAGTGGGATTCGGCAGCGGAGCTTCACTAGAATGAAGGGCTCAGAGCGGACAGTAAGCATCACAGCACAGCTGGGTTTCTCCCTGAGATTTTCTTAGGAGGGTTCTACTTCCTGTGAGACTTGGTGGGCACTTTGACCTTGCTTGCAGGTTAACTCATGCCCTAGCTATTAATTTCACATACTGATCAGGTCTCTCCTATTCTAATCACACAGAGCAGGCCATTTTTTTTTTCTGTGAAGTTCTACACAATAGTTTTTCCACACACACACACAACCACCACCACCACCACCAAATAATAATAATAATAATAGTAATAGTAACAACAACAACAGCAGCAGCAGCAACAGCAACTTTAAATAAAATCAAGCAAGACTAGAGAAACCTAACTGCAGTCCAGATGCATGCACTGCTCCACTGAAGCTTCCTGGAAGCCTGTCTAGGAGAAGCCTGGCCTTTCCCCTCTTTCACTCCATCCAGCTTGAAGAGGGGGAGCTCCAGCTCTGCACCAGAGTCCCCAGACCTGGCCCCTTTCATTCTTCCCACCATTTAGGGGCCCAAGCTCTTTCATTCCACCAAGCATCCAACTGCTAAGGCAAACCTATGTTTAAGGACAATTACTCTTCATCTTTATCGTTTATATAATTAATTCTGTTCCAGACCGGGAGCTGCCCAAGGGCACTCTGGGGTTTGACTCTGGAAGCACCCAAACATGCACTCGACGAACGGAGCAGTAACCTCACCACACCGTTCTGGGACAGCTGGGAAGATCACCTTCCAATCATAACACACACGTGACAAAGGGCTGGGAGGGGGACGCACGGACACCCACAATCAACACAGTGCTACGTTTGTAAAATGGAGGAAACACAGTAAGATCGGCCATGTCACCACGAGGCCCTCTAGGACAATTAATAGGCTGTACTATTAGCCTCTGTGGGTTAAGAGGGAGCTGGCAGTACTGCAGCAAGTGCACTTTCTATCACAATGACAGTAAAAAAGCTAATACATGGACAATATCAAAATCAGAAAAAGGGTCCAGACACAAACTTTCATGAATGACTGTAAAAAAAAAACCTAGACCCACCCTGACTGGGCGGCCCAACTGGTTGGGCACGGTCCCTGCAAAGTGGAAGAACGCAGGTTCTATTCCTGGTCAGGGCACATGCCTGGGCTGTGGGTTTGGTCCCCGGTCAGGGTGTGTATGAGAGGCAGTCAACTGTGTGTCTCTCACATCGATGTTACTCTCCCTCTCTTTCTCCCTCCCCACCTCTAAAAATTCAATAATTAATTTGAAAGAAAAAAGACAAGCTGGACACAGCATGAGGACAACATCTAGGAATGTGAAAGTGTCTGTCTGAACAAAAAGTGTAAAGTACACAAGATGCCGATTTTAAAGACCTGCTTGATATAGCTGCCCAGAAAAAGATTTCGAATATTAATTCTGGTGGTGCCCTAAATCAGACATGAACTGTCAGATGCTGATTTACCTCTTCAGTGTAACCATGCATTTCCAGACTTTCAGAAACTGTTTAAATAGAAAGTACTTCATGTAAAAAAGTATGGGAAATACATTTTTAAAATAGTACCTTTTCAAAAACCAACTCTTGTACCTAATATATCTTTGAAAATCGACACTCGTTTCTAAGGACTGACACGGAGCAGAGCTACTGGTGCTGTCCACCCGGCGGGCAAGGCGGCGCCCCCCCCCCAGAAGTCCTCCCCCAGAGCAGTCTCCACTCCGTCTGGTGCACCTGGGACTTCATCTGGGCCGCCTTTTCTGGGTCCACGGCCAGCACGTGCTGGTAGTGACGGACGGTGTGCAGGCGGTCTTTGTTCTCTGCGCGGACGTAACGCCGCAAGGCCTGGAGAATGCGATGAGGCTGCGGGACAGAAGAGCTGTTTTAATACCCGGAGACCGAGGGAACTGAAAACAGAAAAACGAGGCTTTAAAAATCCCCTTAGGAATGTTAAACTCAGCAAGGCACAAGAATGAAAGCTGTACTTTCCAAAGTTCTTATCACCACGAACAAGAAGCCACCTTTCTCAGCACCAAAATCTAAGTCCCAAAGTTCCATGGGCTCCTTCGCAAACACTGTTTTCCAAGTCCTCCTCCAGTGTACGCTTTTGCTGGCTCAGCTCCACCACCGTAATTACAAACTGGGCAGCCCCCGTGTCACCCAGAAACGACTCTACTTGCTTACCTAAGAAGGATACAAATACCCTCTTTTCCAATACTTTCCATCTCCCCAGAGCAAGGCAGGTCAGAGAGAGTGAAGGAATAAAGAAGTCAGACTGTTGGCACGAAAGGGTTTCTACAGAAACTACCCCTTTCTTCACAACAGCTCAAAAGCTTTGTCCACAGAAGGCATGTTTTTAGTCTTTGAAAGTCAGGCTATTACAAAAATCCAGTAATTGGAAAACTACCAACCAATATGCCAAGGTTATGCTTTCTCTGTGTCGGGTACTTCCACATCACAGGTGGTACACGCAGGCCTGAGTGCAATGCTAAGCTAACAGAAGCAGGTACTATTCAGTACAACATAACACCTTTTCCTCCCTTCTCTTCTCTCCTTACTTCCAGCCTTGCCAGAACTTGTCATAAAAATGCCATTCTACTGACCTGAGTGTCATACATGGGTTCTATACAAACAGTACTTCAGGGCAGGCCACACTGAGGACGCCTTTTGCCAGCAACCTGCTCTGCGCATGACTCACCCGTGGCGGGTCGGACTGCAGGGCGGCCAGGTAGTTCTCTAAAGCCACGCGGCGGCGGTCATTCAGCATAGCTTCCACGCGGGCCAGGTGGGTTTCCACCAGCTGCTGCTTCTCGCTGGCTGCTTCCTTCTCTAAGGCTTTCACCATAGCTTGGAAGTGCTAAACTCAGGAAGCAGACGACATGTAATTAATGGCACCCAAAAGTCTCGGCAAATAACTTTGGAGCCCAATGCTGGCTTCTCCCTGCCCAGGGCCTGTGTGAGCCGGCAACAGGTTGAGAAAGTGGGGCACAGTTAAGACCCCAGTGCTGTGTACAGTAAGTCCTCACTTATCATCAATGGCTTCTGTGACTTTAAGCATAAGCAAAACGACGTACAATGAAACCAATTTTACCATAGGCTAATTGATATGAACAAGAGTGAAGTTGCGATGGCATCTCATCAACATCACAAAACGACAGCCAACGAAATGGCGTGATTTGAAAAGCTGTTACTTTATCTGATGTGATAGGATCATTGCTTCCTTGCCTAATGACAGCATGGTAAAGCAAATGTCAGAAGGACCCCTCAGCATTTCCCTGACATTACTGGTTCTTCCATGTGCACTGCAAGGGAAGAAAATGCTCCGTTTTCCACACTGTAGCACAGCCAGCATCGACTTACAAATCCTGAAGCCACCCCCTAACAGGAGATGTATATGGAAAGGAATCCCAGTAACATGCTGAGTTCTGCGGAGCCATTCACACCGAAGTCCTGAAGGGCAAGCTGTTGTTATCTGTGGAGCACCTGGCCACACTTAATGGTATAGTTTCAGCCCTGGCTGGTGTGGCTCAGTGGACCGAGTGCAGACTGAGAACCAAAGGGTCGCTGGTTTGATTCCCAGCCCGAGCACATGCCTGGGTTGCAGGCCAGGTCCCCAGTGGGGGCCACGTGACAGGCAACCACACATTGCTATTTCTCTCCCTCTCTCTCTCCCTCCCCTCTCTAAAAATAAATAAAATCTTTAAAAAATTTAATAATAAAAAAGCGAAGGTACAGTTTCAAGCTGGTGCATCAAGGGCTGCACTGGCTATGTAGAAAGGAACACTCGGGGTCTCCAGATGCTCTGAGAAAGGGCAACCATGAGAAGAGAAGTTTCTCATAAACGTAAATACCAACTACTTTAAAATGTTTATGGAACCCAAACCTATCTTGTAGATCGCTATCCCTATTCCCATCAGCACCCTCTTCTATTCGAGGAGGACACGGCTGTGGCTATGATTCTAAAGTGATGTTCTTACAAAGTTAGAGATGGACTGGTATCAGAGCTTTTTTTAATGCTTTTTGATTTTCCAGTAAGTCTATTGGAAAAAAAAAAATCCAGCCCTGACCGGTGTGGCTCATTTGGTTGGAGCATTACCCTGTAAACAGAAATGTCACTGGTTCAATTCCTGGTCAGAGCACATACCTGGGCTGCAGGCTTGGTTGTGGCTCATGTGAGAGGCAACCAATCGATGTTTCTCTCTCACACGCATATCTCTCTCTCCCTTACCCACTCTCTAAAATCAATAAGCATGTCCTTGGGTGAGGAGGACAGGCAAGAAAAAAAAAAGATAGCTGAAAAATAAGACACAGCCTAAGAATGAGGACGACTGAGGACTTTTGCCAGGAAAGAATAATTAACAAACGCAGCTGAGCTAAGGTTACTTTCTGGCAAGAGTTTGGTGCACTCTGGCTAGGGATTTGCTCTCCATCTACCATAGGTGAGCTACGCTAGACAACACCAGCTGGGAGGTTTCATTTATAAAAAAAAAAAAAAAAGGCAGGCCAGCTAAAACTTCCTTGTAACATAAGCTCTTGCTGAAAGGAGGTGTCCAGCTCTAACTTCCTGAGAGGAGGCTCTGACCACCTCTCAGAGGGTCAGGCCGGAGCTCCAGGCCTGAGGAGGGCGTCTCACCTGGATCAGAGTCTGCCTCTCCGCTTTAGGGAGGTTCTTTGCTTGAAGCTCAGCCTCTTCCCATTCCTTCTTTACCTAGAACAGAGGTCAGCGCACTCTAACCAGAGTAATCTCTAGAACAATACCCTCGTTTTCTAAAAATACTGCCAGGCCCTGCATCTCACGTAGGAAACTGTGCAAAAGGAAACCACACACACGATGCACTGTGGGGCTCGTGTTGCTCTCACACAGCCCTTTTGAGGAAAAGTGAACATCCCTGAGACTCAGAACCTCAGACAGGCGACGGTAACTAGCTAGCCTCTCACTTTCATTTCATACATTTTTACACTTACCTTTTTCTAGTGGCACATGATACTAGCTATTTACAGCTGCAACATAAAGTTTCTGTCTTTAAAATAAAATGTTTGGCCCTGGCTGGTGTAGCTCAGTGGATTGAGCACAGGCCTGTGAAGCAAAGGGTCGCCGATTTGATTCCCAGTCAGGGCACATGCCTGGGTTGCAGGCCAGGTTCCCAGTAGGGGACACATGAGAGGCAACCACACATCTATGTTTCTCTCCCCCTCTTTCTCTTTCCTTTCTCCTCTCTCTAAAAGTAAATAAAATATTAAAAAATAATAAGAATAAGATAAAATAAAATTTTTGAGCTAGTTAATGTAAAAAAATAAAATAAATAAATAACAGCAGCAAGAATATAACAGCTCACCAGAACGTGAAACCCAAGTAGGCAGAGGGTGGAGGGGTGAAGGACCAGTCACGCCAAGAAGGCCCGCTTCCACTCTCGCACCTCACCTGTCCTAGGCGACATGTTAGCATGACAATCTAGGGAGATGGTGTCCCTTTTCTTCAACTATGAAAGCCATGTCACCCAATGCTGAACACCACAGAGATAAGGAAAGTGCTGTGGTTTACCCTGTCCATCCGGTTGCGGTGGCGAATTTCTAGCTGTTCCTTAGCCTTCTGGAAGCGGGCATGCTCATTATCATCTGCAGAGGTCTCGAAATACACATCGACATCAGTGGTTGGCAGCGGAGTCGGGGGAACTGAAACGAAACGATAGAGGTTGTTCTCCTGGGGGTGAGGCCACACAGGGAAACAGCGCTGTGCTCGGGGAGGAAAACCGAGCCCAGTACCACAGTGGACTTGCTTGTCCATACCACACCCGACGGGCCGGGCGCTCCTGTCTGCCAGTGCTGTCAGGTGACACTGGTCGCCTTCCCCTCCATGACACTCACCTAGGCCACGCCAGGCTCCCTGGTAACTGTGGTACCAGGAAGGCACTTAACTTAGCACTTCAGGAGCAGAAGAAAGAAATCACTGCCTCTGTACTGTCCCTCAGTTCTCAAAATCTTGAAACCTAAAAGAACAGCTTCCTTGCTGCTGTCAGTGACAGCAGCTGACAAGAGATAAGCAGAAGCGCTTCCACAGATTCTCTATTTCGAAAGAAACTTCAGGGCTCAGGTTTTTTCCTTCCTTCTTGTTGTTCTTAGGCTAGAACCTAATTTGGGAAGCTGATTTAACAGAATGTTCTTTGCATACAGACTGAGTACGGAAAAGTCTCAACTGCTCTAGCTACGGTTTTCCAGTTTTGGGACTCACTGGGGGACTCTTAGCCCCACCCCCAATAACAGAAACCACAGGTATAAAACTAAGTTGCTGGATGTGACGGACAACGTTGCTGTACTTGACAATTCACTAGCCTTCAGGCATCACCCAGACAACAAACCATTAGAAGAAGCACTCCTCACTGCCAGACAAGCACTGATTCAGAAGGCACCCAGGCAAGGGAATATCAATCTGCACATTGGAGCCTGATCTCATAAAGGAAGAGACTGAGACGGCAGGCTGCTCAGGCAACCTCTCCAGCAATACGCAGGGAAACGCTCGTTAGCCTGATTCCCTCAAGATTTCCCAGACTAGGAAGACTCACACACAACTTGCTGGAGCATGACATGTTGGAGCTAAGTGGGTAGCAAACGCCCAAATGCAACAAGTTTTATTCAGGAACCAATCCACCTAACTTCCAGAATTGCGTCACTTCAATGGAACTTTAAAACAAATGTGTAACTGACAAATGTAACTACAAATGCATCAGCCACTCCAAAGTTTTCTTCTATCAGAACACCTTTTTCTGTTTTTCTAAATAAATAAATATTTTATTTATTTCTAGAGAGAGGGGAAGGGAGGGAGGAAGGGGGAGAGAAAAAAACAGCAATGTGTGGTTACCTCTTGCTTGACCCACACCGGGGACATGGCCTGCAACTCAGGTATGTGCCCTGACTGGGAATCAAACCAGCGACCCTTTGGTTCGCAGGCCGGCACTCAATCCACTGAGCCACACCCGCCAGGGCCCATCAGAACACCTTTTATTTGTAAACCTAAAAATAAAATCTTCTGAAGAATTATCTAGCTCCTACATACATATAAACAGGATCTCAACAGCAATTTCCAAATTAAATAAATTAGAGTACACAGGGCTTCACAAACCACATTCCCTCTGATGCTCAAAACTTTCAGCTGGGAGAACCTCCAAGCACTGAAGTCCCTCTGTGCCACCAAGCACACTGTGCCAAGCAACGCAGGCCTGCAGCTTAAAGGCTGCTGTGCTAGAAGCCGAGTCTTTGGCTCCTCTCACGGGGCTGGAAACAGACAACACAAGCCGCTGCCACCCTCTGAAGACAGGAAGGGAAAGGCGTGGCAGCCTAGAGGTTTGGTTCTGCAGACAGACGGGCTCGCGCCTAGAGCCACAGCCCTCTGTCCCAATGGAATTCCTTGTGAGGAGGGACACAAACTTGACCACCACAACAGTGATGTTGCTGGGCTTTCAAAGTACTCCAGCCAGGGGCCCCCCCAAAGCACACGAGCACAGCTGCTCCTCGGCAGGTCTCCCCGCCCTAACCAACAGGGAGCTACAATTCTGCAGACCTAGAGACTGCTCTGAAGAACTGCCACTCCAGACGAACAGAGATCTGACTGGGGTGGTGAACACACCATACAATATACAGATGGTATATCATGGAATTGTACATCTGAAACCTACATAATTTATTAACCGCTATCCTGATAAATTCAATTAAAAAATAATAAAAATGAAAAAAGAACTGCTGTTCCACGGTGTCTTTAAGCACAACCTCTCTGATCCCTGGGGAGAGATTACCTACCACCTGCGACAAGAACTCACAGGATCCTGGGTTCCTCCCTCGGACTTCCACCCAAAACAGTGTTTTCTTGCCTCTTCATTCAAGCAGTTTTACAAAGCAGAAACTATCCATTTCTATCTCTACATCTTTCCTGAATAAAAAAATCTCTACCAAAGGATTCAGATTTTTTTCACGTTTTCGATTGTATCCAATAAAAATAGCCTGCCCACAGAGTGGCAGCTGGAGGGGAAGTGCAGAAAGCACACCCACCACGTTACATCAAGGTTCGGGAGCCTTGGGGGGGGGGGGCAGAGGGACCAAGCAGGTGTTTGCACGAAAACTTCCAGAAGCTACAACCAAACACCAGGAACAGGCAGCACCTCTTTATTCTTACAAATTCCAGGACAGAACCAAGAAAAGACTGCTCGGATGGAGGACTTTCCAAATCAAGTAAGAGAAAGAGGGTGGATGTGTAGAAAAACTAAATTTTACCTAAATGAACCCAACTCAACGAATCCAAGTTTCCTTTGCGACCAAAAAAACTCATAAAGTAAAATTCCTTCACTACCTCCATTTCTCCATAACACAATGTTGCCAAAATACAGAGGTAACTGCTCCCTCCCTTGAGCACATAAAGCAAGATATTCCAATATTCTGCGTCCCCACGGTAACCCCGTTAGCACTGTTTTGGAGAGCGCACATCACAGGGGCCGGCAACAGGACAGGTTGGGGACAAGAATGAGGGGCAAAGCCTGGAAATGACCATGTGCAGGACTCATGGCCAATCTTCTTCCCCTTTTGTGCCTTTCAACAGATACAACCGAGGACGTGGCTGCCTTCCAAACCAACACAAAGCACCCTGGGAGCCTGCAGTCTACGTGGAGGAATGAGAAAGAACAAGCTCCAGGGCGCACCCACAGTACCAGGGAGGAAACACAGCACCGCCACCAGACCCACAGAGAGCACAGGACACGGAGAACTCAGCTGACAACGGCCCACAGCAAAGCAAGCCTAGATCTAGAAAGCACAAGATGAGGAAACACAACCAACAGCGAACACCCACGCGGGCGGGAAGCACTACACAGATGCAGTCACGGGGACGGCCAGGAAAGACAAGATGCTGGACAGGACAACCCGCTGCACAGGGCCAGCGTGGCGGGACTTACTCATCGCTTTACACACAGCCATACAATAATCCTCAGACTCAAAATTGTTCCTGTTGCCTCCGCAGCCGCCATATATAAAGCGCACGCACTTTCCCTTGGAGAGGTCGAAGTACCAACGGGGCATCACGGCCCGGCAGGGCCCCGTCATCGCCTCCTGGGAGCAGACAGCTGTGTGGAAACGGTCAGAATGTCAGCAGGACAGAGGCAGCAGCTTCGGACACTTCAGATGCTTCATATGCTACAGACCACGAGGGCTGGGCCAGGTGAGGACAAGGGCCTGGTGACGCTTAACGCCGGTGAAGACCGAGACTGGACAGGACCCCAACACCCTGGCTCACTGTCTCCCGAGCTCAAGCCAGTCATTTCTGACAATGCGGTCCTTCCCCATTCAAAGGCAATACAGACAGTCAGAAACTGAAAATATTTTTGGTGCTGTCTGGAGTGCAGGCCGATTTACTGGTGGACAGAGGAATGCCTTACTTCATGGCTCTGTGAGCCCCAGGTTGCCGATCTGCTGTTAGGTGGAGATATTTGCCTGACCTGTCTACCTCGGAGGAATCAAAGCCCAAAGGGAAGGCAGGCGAACAGGTTGTACTGGTGGTAGGAACCACGGTAAGCACTACTTAAGCCGCTGGTAAGGATGAGCGCACATTTTTATGTTCTCCGAGGTGAACCATAAATTTCTAGACTCAGTAAGTAATTTCCCCCCTAGTTGGGCCCAATAACTCTTCAGATCTTACTTGGTTTCAAACACAACCAGCAGGAGGTTGTGTGGAACTGGTTCTGGAGCCGTCACAACTTCTTTTTGATTGGGAAGATGAAAACACTGCTGGTTCCGCTGCCTCACCAGGGCCATTAATTCCACCCTCCCCGCCACAGCCACCTCTCTAATGACAGACGGGGCAGCCTACAGACTGGACACCCTCAGAAAGAGAAGAACCAAGGCAGGGATTTCTACTCCACGAGGTCAGGGCTTTCTCAGTATTGAGGAAGGGGGGCACCCCTTCAGCAGAGAACATCTCAAGCTGGATGTGGAATAACTCTGCCCAAGGGCAGGTGTTTCTCATACTCTCCACTTTCGTCCCTGCACTGCAGAGAACAGTGTTCTGGTTCAATCTGGCACCTCCCCTGGGAGGTGCCAATCAGCGGGCTCTGCCGTGGCCCACCTACCACTGCTAGGCTGGCACCCCTGCCCGCTGAAGAGCTGACTTGCCCTTCGGCTCACAGGAGCACGCCACCCTCTCCTTCTGTGACGTACCTGTGAGAGATGCGGTACAAAAATCTAAGCAAACCATTACCATGAGCATTTTACCGCCACTGCTCTGTATCAGGTTACCTTTCACATCATGGGTCACTTCCTTTTCTGAAATGGTCCTCTCGTTGCTGGGTTCTGTTGGGTTCTCATCATTGTAGTCATCTCCCTTAAAGTTATCATAGTAGTAGTCACGATCTTCCACCACTTCCTCCTCTTCCTCCTCATCCTCTCCATCTTCATCCACAGCGGCTTCCGTGAAGTCTTCCAAATCCGCTTCAGTAGGAAATTCACTAAAGGTCACAGTACAAGAGGAAGGTTAACACCAGTTCCTGTGACAGAACACAACAATTCCCTTCCCTGCTCTGAAACACAAGAAAACAGAGACAGGAAACAAGCTCTGCTTGCAATTAACCGTGCTACTAAAGCCCTCCGCCCAGCCTCATCAGCAAAAGGGGAGAGTTAGGGGACAGACACCACGTAGAAAATACTGCGGCCAGGAATAACAAGAGGCTGACAGCCACAGGCACTGCGTGACCAGCTCCAGCTGGAATGAAATGCACGTTGGCTCGGCTCCAGCCCAAGCCAGGCAAGGCCCACTCTGTCAGCAGCCCGCAGCCCCCCACAGAACAAGATAACAGGTTCAGGGCAAGAGCTCACCTCTTATAAACTTCATAGTCTTCCTCTTCCTCCTCCTCTCCTTCCTCCTCCTCCTCCTCCTCCACCTCTTCCTCCTCTTTGGACACAGCAGACTGCACGGCCTTCATCTGAGGGCAGCACACGTACTCGGTGCCGTGGAACTGGTCCACGCCACAGGGCAGCAGCATGCCGTAGCTGTACAAAGTCATGCCCTGGGTCAGACAGGCCTACAAGAAACCCACAGACCAGCATCAGAACACACCCCGGTCCCAGGCACAGCCAAAAGAAACCCTGATCAAATCACTACTTCATGCTTTCTCTCATGGATACAGATTTTCTGTCAAAAGGTTGTGATGTTAAAATTTACAAGTTTTGCTTATCTGGGCCCCAAACAATGAACGTCGAAAAATGGAAAAAATTCAGGAAAGGGAGACTCTTCTAGCAATGATCAACACCAGCTAGAGTGGCCGCCCGCCGCTTCTTTACACTCCTTTCTGGGGAGGGAGGCACTGCCTCCAGTCTGATGAACCGATGAACAGACTGGAGACCCAGCTTAACTCGAGAAGTGTCATGGAAGAGTATTATTCCTCCCCACCAGAAGGAGGAAGTGACATCCAACCCTGTCAGTACACGTGAGCAGACACTGAATTCCCGTAACCGGCAATTCCCAGCCCAAGAACTCAGGACGTGGAATGGCCTTCCTGGGAGCCCTGCTGAGAGCATCCTTGTGGAACAGTCTTTTTTAATGTCCTTAACTCTAGGGCCTGGACTGTCAATATGGAACTGCCCCACAAAAATATCGATTCTTTCCCCCAAATACTGTTAACTTTGGAAGTACCTGCTAACTTTAAAGGGGAAAAAGAGAAATTAATTTAAAATCATGGTGAGGTTTGGAGGAAAATGCTACTTTCCCTCCTAGCAGAAAGCAACGCTGGACTTTTCCACCCCTTCTTTTACCTCTTTGACGACCGTGTGCCAGTGCTGGTGGTTCTCACACACCTCCATCCGCTCTTTGTGGAAAAACTGGCACTTTTCCGGAACTAGCAGGACGTCGCTTACAAACTCGCCCACTGGAAAAGAGGAGCTTTGTCAAAAGCCAATCTGATCCTGACTCAGGGTGAAAACGCCCCTCGCTGCAGATTATTACAGTCACAGAGTCAGGTGCAGGCAGGTGCTGTACCTCTAACTCTTCAAAGGCCAAGTGAACACTATTGCTCCAAACAGACACAAGAGCTCAACACTCCACTATGGCATCAGGCCCAGGACTATCCTCCCTCATCCCAGACTCCACAGCCACACAACATACGACAAGAGAATAGGAACAGGACCCCTTTCTGTGACCTTGAACGAACACACGAACGAACACACACACACACACACACACACACACACACATTATCCCCCAGCCCAATCTCACACAAACAGCATTCCTAGCCCTTCACTCCCGTATTTCTGGCCATATGGGTTCAAATAACAAAATGCCCAGGACACTAAGACTAGGTGTTCTCCTAAAGTGCAGATGAATCTTAATTACACGAACACTCTGTGTGTCTAAAGACACCTAGTTCTAAGGCCAATCACCGCTGTAATAACTGATTCACCAGTAACTAAGTAATCAATGCAGAACTACTTACAAAGGGAACAGGGAAGTCTTGGTCATGGGAAACTCTGTAGACATTACTCTAACCAGGTGACCAGTTTAAATCACCAATCATGGACAAGCTGACATATGTGATACCCTAAGAAGAACATATTACCTACTTTCTACCAGAACATGTCATTTCAATCTAACCGTGATAAAACATTAAGACAAATTCAAATGGGGGCGTACTCTGCCAAACAAATGGCCCTAAAGGCTCTAGGAAGGTTGAACTTGTACACAAACTTCACAATCAACCACACACCGCCCCCACCCCGCAAAAAGATTTAGACAAGAAACTGTTTTGGATCATATATAACGTGAAGGACATCCGCTGGACGGTGAGGAAAACCGTTCTGAGTGTGACTGCCGTGTTGAGGTGACAGAATGTCCTCACTCTGACAAGAAACAGGCCAACGTACTGCTGGGGGAACTGTCACAATGTCTCCACTTGCCTTCAAACAGTTTAACAACAACGAAAAGTATACAAGCCACACATAATGAGACAGATAAATAAGGCAAAACCGAAGAACCTACATAAACGGTATACTGATCAACTACTACGTTTTTTAGTATCAGTCTAAAATTTTTAAAAAATAAGCTGAGCAGAATACCCTTTAGGTCCATCAATGCTGTTGCATAAAGTAAAGGATTTCATTTTTTTAAATTGGTTGAGTAATATTCCCTTGTATATATGTACTGAAACTTTTTATTGATTTTTAGAGAGAGGAGAAGGGAGGAAGAGAGAGAGGAGGAGAAACATGGATGTGCGAGAGAAACACCCACTGGCTGCCCCTCGTACCCTCCCAACCAGGGAGTACAGGGCCCGACCAGGAACTGAACCGGTGACCTTCCACTTTGTGGAGCGATGCCCACACCTGAGCCGCACTGGCCAGGGCTGTCCTACAACCTGGCTATTGTAAGTAATGCTGCAGTGAACATAAGGGTGCATATATTCCCCCCCATTAGTTTCGGGTTTCTTCGGTATGTACCCAGAAGTGAAATCGCTGGGTCAAAAGGCAGTTCCAATTTAAATTTTTGAGAAAACTCTATACTATTGCCACAGCGGTTACACCAGTCTGCATTCCCACCAACAGTGCACAAGGGTTCCCTTTTCTCCACATCCTCCCTAACACTTGATGTATAGATTTGTGCACCTGAAACCTATATAATTTTGCTAATCAGTGCCACCCCAATAAATTTAGTAAGGAAAAAATTAAAACTAGCTAAATGCCACCAATCTCTAGCTATTTAACGAATGACTTAATTAATCTGACCTCTAAAAACCAGAAGAGATTACCACTGAATCAAAAATAATCTAAAATATAAAAATGGAAAAACAAACAATAATCTTTGATTCTATAATTGCAATTCTAATAATATATTCTAAGGAAATATTTAGCAACCGAACAAAAATATTCATTATAGTATTGTTAACATAAAAAAGGAACCAACCTAAATGTCCACTAACAGGGAGTTCCTTCCATAATGCTATCTGTGCACAGTGGAACACCATGGGACGTCACAGGAAATACAGTCTGTGTGTATGTTTCACACGGTCACTTGCAAATGGACACCTGCAGCGGACCGGTGAGCTGCTCTGGGACACCAGGGTGCAGGAGCCAAAGACTGCACCGCAGAGCCGGACTCTGCGAACTCCCTTCGATGGTCTGCAGATCACAGTAACACCGCCGGTCCACATCTCCTCCAAAACCACCCAACACGAGCACTGTTCTGAGCCTGCAGAGCTCCCTTCCCTTAGTACAGCAGCCAGTCTGGGCATGGACGTCAGAGATGCCTAACTCCTTCCCCACAAGTAGCAGCAGTTCTGTGTCTTCACACATCACCAGCACTGGCCTACTAATCAGCTCATTCTATGCATTTACATAAATGTCTACAGATAAGCAGGAGGCAATTAGTACCAACAGGAGACAGAAGGTTCATTTTGAGAAGACTGAACTGTAACTTCTCACCAAATGTACTATCAGTTTCAAGAGTCACATGCTCTCAGAAGACAGCAGAGTTAAATCACAGGCACAGCAATGTCTACGTGTGACATCAGATTTGATGCAAATGTTGCTAGCAGCCCAAATTCATCCTCAAATTGCTTTTAAGCGCCCTAATCAAGACACATCCTTCTCTTCAGCCTCACAAAAACAACAGAAAACTGTGTGAGTACACAGATATGGCCCCTGGAACATCCAAACTAATTAACAGAGGCACCCAACTCATACAGACTCAACCCACCTTCTCCCAGTTCTCATCTCCCTGCCCGCCTGGACTGCCTATGCTTTGGGTTTGCTAGGCGGCCGTGCTGAAAAGGGGTTTCCGGGGTGGAGCCAACCACACTCCTGTCTCTCTCTTTCCAACAACACTCGGTATTCACTGTAATATGTATAAAAGGGCTCACTGTGGTTACTCCTGGTGAATAAAATATGCAAGACTCTCGAGTTTGACTGTATTATTTTCTAGTATAGTTTGCATGTTAAAAGAACTGAGTACGGTTAGATCATTTCAGAAAATGTACTATAAACCATTAAACTATGGGTGAATAGTATATGCATCATATCTCAACACAGCTATTCTTAAAAATCAGAGAGACTGTTATTTACAGGGGATATTGAAAAACGTTTTTTAAAATATACCAAAGATAGCCCTGACCAGTGTGGCTCAGTTGGTTGTACATCATCCCACAAATCAAAAGGTCGCTGGTTTGATTCCCAGTCAGAGCACATGCCTGGGTTGTGGGTTTGGTCCCCAATCGAGGCACATGCTAGAGGCAACTGATCAATGCCTCTTTCCCTCCCTTCCCTTCTTCTAAAAAATAAAATATATATACTGAAGACAACAGAGTTCTAAGTATCAATATGAGCTCACTGTTTTTAACATACGCACACAGATGTAGAAAACAGAATGTACACACACATAATATTTCTTAGCTCTGTCTCCTCAGGGGACCTAGAAGCAGTAACACTGTAATAGCAGTAAGCATACCTAATGCCCAGATCTCGGTTTCTACACAGTCTTTCTTTCCTACTAAATGAGATCAGGCCTTATTGAAGAAATGTCTGAGGTGCAGGGGTTGGGTAGAAAACTATAGGATAAGCCTAGCGCATCTTTTTATACCAGAAAGGAAGGAAGCTTTCAAAGAATGACAGGGACACAGTAAAAACTCTGGAGCCAGCATGAAGGGGCTCCCACTGGCCAAATCGAGACAGTGAGTCCATCCTGAAATGAATGCAGAAGTCACCTTAGTCAGGTGATAAAAGTAAGACCACTAATGAAACAGACATCATGAAACTCCTAATATGATGCAGCAAGACCATTTCTGTAGTAAAACCTTCAAAAATGTGTAAGTCAAAAGAAGTAAGACAAACGCAAACCACAAGGCCTTCTACGAGGTAACTGACCTGTACTCTGTAACAATGATTTTCAACCAGTGTGTCACAACTTTTAAAATATGCAACACCTGGCTATTTAGACAGGGGCTGACATCTTTCCTTTAGATTGTCAAATTTAAAAAATGGCAACAAATAGCTTGATAAACAGAAGCCTCATACCCAGAGATTTCTTGCAGCCAAATGGAATGGAAGAACATCCTAAAACCACACCCAAAAAATGTTTCCAAGCCTCACTCTACTGCGTGGGGCTCCTTTTTCAAGTAAACGATGTGAAGCACAGGCAGGTCCCTCTTTCCTCCTACTGAGCACTTTGAAAACAAAGTTATCGCTACGCTGACTCTTCTTCCTGTTATTTTGCTGCATGTGAAAATGAGGAAAGCAATGTATTCCATTCTAGGATAGAATGGGAGGGAGGGGAAAAGGTTAAATTCATGGCTAAGTTTATTTATATCTACAGAACTACCCACAACATCCAATGTTAATGCTGAGTCTACGGGCCGCTCCGTTCAGTACCACTCAGCGCCTGACTGTAAAACTGCAGGCTCCCCGCGGCAGGCACAGCTGGAGCGCCCTGCAGGCAGCACCCCCTTCAGGGCCGTAGAAAGGGCTTCTCCTTAAAAGACCAGGATGCCCACAAGGGCAGAGGGAGAGCCACCATCTAAGTCAGCTGCTGACACAGAAAGCAGTAACTATTCAAAAAAGAGAAGTCCCACGGTAAATCCTTGTAGCCCTCAGGTTCTCAACGGATGTAGATGAGCCAAGAGAAAATGAGGGACGCCGCTTCCTGAGAAACAGCCAAGAATGTCTGGGGAACACTCACCAAGACACTTGAAAGGAATCACGAGGTGGTTCTTGCACTGCTTTTTGTCTCTGCGGCACCAATTGTCCACACCGACTGGCTGGTTGGCTTCCATCACATTGGTGATCTGCAGCTCTGGATACATCTGCACGGGACAGGAACACACTCACCATTAAACTGACTTGGTCCGTAACAAGTGGACATTCGCTCGCAATAAGGATGAGTGTCGGCTTACTCAGCGTCACTGTTACCCCATCTACAAATCCACAGTTCCACTCTGCTGCCCCCAGCTCCAGAGAAACTCTCCATGTAAAAAGATACTGCAACAATTAGCTTTCTTCTGACAGACAAATTTCTGACTATTAATGCGCTCTTTTTATAAAAAAAAGGAATCTTTATTTGAGGATATACAAAAGCAGCAAGCTCTTAGCCTCCCAAATCTATTAGGTATCAAAGCCACTTGTAGGTTATGGGTAAGGGGCGGAGTTCATGAACTAAAATATTTAAGAGGCAGGTCCATGGAAATGTCCATTAATGTAATACAGAATAATGCTTGACGCAGCCCTATGTGCCAGTCATGCTAAGTAAGAAGGTCAAACATCTTATATCCTTGTCTAGGTGAAGTTTTGACCCAAAACCAAGTTGAATCAGACCTGAGATGCTCATTTATAGCAAGTGGAGAACACAAGCACACACATGGCTTGTTTTGCTTCGAGTCTTCCCGTAACAAGTGGAAGCCAAGAGGACCGGGCTGGCCTGCTGGGGTGCCTGCCAAGCTGCAGAACTCCTCCGAGAGCACAAGCGCACAGCACACAAAGGCAGAAGCCTCGAGAAATCTGCATCATATCATCCACTTAGAAACAACAGGCCCAGTGCACCAGTCATCACCAACTTGGTCTTAGGTCAAAAGAGAAGAATGATAGAGTATCCATTTCTAAGGCAAGTAGGTTCAAATTTAACCCAGAAAAAGAAGTGGTTTTACCTTTTGGCAGCACTCTTACCTCCTGACAGTACTGAAGAACCTCTTCTTTGGTTCCAAAGCAGCTCTTAGTGCCTGTGGGGTCAGGTTCCCATTTCCCAGTCTGAATGTTCACGTGCATATTTAGCTTTCCACAAAACATTGCGATTTGGGGCTCGGCGACAGCAAACCCTGTTCCAGCATTGGCTGCGAGAGCCTACCAAAGGGGGGGGGGGGGCAAAGACATAGGTTTACTCCAAAAAGTCTGCACAAAGCCACAGTCATTCAGTTGTTTGTGACAGTAGATTTGATCTCACTTTTTAAAATGTAACTCCTTTCTTTCTTTTTTGATTTTATTTACTTTTAGAGAAAGGGAGGGAGAAAGAGAGGAAGAGAAACATTAATGTGTGGTTGCCTTTCGGGTGTCCCCATCTGGGGACCCTGTCGGCAACACAGGCATGTGCCCTGACTGGGAATCAAACCAGAGACCCTTTGGTTCGCAGGCTGGCACTCAATCCACTGAGCCACACCAGCCAGGGCTCGATCTTTTTTTAAAAAATCTTCATTGTTTACTATTTTTATGTCACAAACAAACCCTTTTCCCAGGAGCCAGGCCAGAATAAAAAATGAACTCTGGGTGTACAAGATCAAAGTGAAAAGTCAATGAGAAATCTACCCCCAACCCCCATCTGGACACTTCTGACGTGGGAACCTATAACCTAACTGCAGTCTCTTCCAATACAAGCAAGTCTACTTTCCATTCCTTAACATATCAAACCACAAAAGTATAAAATGCCTAAAGCCCCAGTAATTTTACTCAATTCACTCACGAAATTTTATTTAGTGGTTACTATTGTGTGGAGAAACAAACTAAATGCTTAGGATACAGGGGTGAGCAGAGTTTCAGTCCACGCTGTCCCCACTCTCACGGGGCTTGCGGTCTAGTACAGCGTCCACACACCAAAAAGTGTGATCACGTGCCCAGGAAGGAAAGGAACACATGGCAGGGAGGAAGCACATGAAAAGGGAATCTGCCTTAGGCTTGGATAACAGGGCGATCGGGTGGGCTTCCAAGCCGAAGAGAACAGCATTTGAGTAGAGCAGAGCTTTCAGTACCTCAAGCGGAGGGAAGGTAGAGGCCGGTAAAGGAAGGAGGACAGGCCTGCGGGGCCAAGCCCAGACAGTCTGTAGACTAAGAAAGGATTCTGGTCCTTATCACTGGATATAAGGAGAGGCTCTAAGCACAAAGTTACTATACCAACATGTAGCTCTGACGCTTTCGCTGGTTGCGGGGTGAAGAACAGACTGAAAGGAACCACGAGTGCATGCAGGGAAATGGCTCAGGAGGCTGGAGCTGCGCAGTCCCAAAAGGAGACAGGGTAGCTTGGGCTAGGGAGGGTAGTGGAGAGAGAGATTCAAGAGATCACGGAGAGCAACACAAGCAAGACTTGGAGGCAAATTAGCTAGGGGGGAGAGGAAGACTTCAAGCCTGGTTAGTGTTATTCAGTAAGTGATGGTGTCAGTCACTGACACAGACACTACAAGGAATTTCATGAACAATTTTATCTCATGTTTGGTAAAAACAATCAACTATTGCAAAAAGTCTTTCTTAGGTTAGTATTCTCTCCTTCACTTAAGACTACTGCCACTAACAACTCACAAGTTCCAGGTAAGAAATAACACCTAGGCATAGTGACAGCAAGGCCCCTGCAAAGCCTCCTGCGCTGGGACAAAACACAGGCACCTCAGCATTTGGAAATATGCCAACACTGATGGCTGCATCTCTTGGGGGAGGTGGGAAACAGGGTTAGATTGCATGGTTTATTATATCGTTCTTTTTAAAAAGAGCAATTAGCCCTGACTGGTGTGGCTCAGTTGGTTGCGCATCGTCCCACAAAGTGAGAGGTTGCAGGTTGGATTCCCGGTCAGGGCACTTGCCAGGGTTGCGGATTCAGCCCCCAGTAGTGCAACTGATTGATCGATGTCAATATTTCTCTCCCCTTCCCCCTAAAAATAAATAAAATCTTAGAAACAGAAAGAGCAATGAACATAAAACGGTTTTCCTTTAACGGAAAGGGCAGATCTGACTTTGAGTCTATGGGAAATGTGTCCTTTCTAAGCAATCCCTATGGTATCTATGCTGCTGGACGACACAGACAGGAATGTCCCCTCCAATCAGGAGCCTGCATTAGATTTTGAAATACCCTACCATCTTTTTCCATAACAAGTTCACCACCTGACATGTTTTGCTTTGAAACTTATGAAAATTAGTCTGCTTTCTACTAGCACAAGAGAAGGAAGCACAAACTCCTGTTGGAGAGCTGGGAGGAAGCGAATTTGGAAGTAAAATGCTGCCTAGATCAATCCAGGTTGAAAAAACACCTATTAAACCCCATGAGAACAATGAGCAACTTTGTTAACTAGAATCAATTGTAACCCCATCGAGTGATGACTTATGAAAGTAGGAGGCAGATCCCATGCCCTCTGTGTCATCGCACGTGGAACCAAAGACTGGTGTCAAGTCCTGTCTCCCCCAGAGAAAGAAACAAGCATTGAAAAGTATCTGTGGAAAAGAACACTAACCATGTTTAATCAAAAGAAATCACTAAATGGTATAAGGGTGTACAAGACAAATACATTAATTCTCACAATGAGATTAAGATGTGAACCTAAATGCCTCTTGTGGTGGCCGGTCTTCTTCTGGGAGCTGTGTCTGGGGACCACAGCTGGAAACCTGGGTAATGGCGTGGGGGAAGCAGGCCCGCATAAACGGGCACACACGGAGACAGAGGCAAAAAACCTCCGGGACACTTTTGTGTACCGAAACCAGTGCTCCCCTCACGTTTGTTTTTTCCCCATTTCAATAACCCAGACAAGAATAAATGGAAAAAAAAAACCCAAAACAAAAACAGCAGCAGCAAGATAAATAAGCAATCAAGAAAGCCAAATGAACAGGTCAAAAAGAGTTTCCTAAACCTGCTATATATGAACAACCACAGTTCTATCTGAAAGATGCTGAACAGCATACATTTTCTGTGACCTTGTGCATTTTTAACATTAAAGGCAGCTATTAAATAGGATTTCGGGTGTTGGGTGGGGATTTCCTCTTATATTCCAAAAATGAATACAGGTAAGACACAGGGTCAGTTGGTTTGGGGAGGTCACCCAAGCCACAGCTGTGGAGCAGTCAGAACTGCGCAGGCCGCCATTTATCACCACCAAAGACCACGCTGCACGTGTTTCTCGTTATGGCTGTCGGCTGAAGACCACAGGAGCTCCAACTGCCTAAGCGTCCAGTTTGTGAGTCAACCACTGAGGTCAACGCAGCAGTGGCAAGTGCATTTGATCTCTGTGAGGAGATGGTCGGCACCACCCTCCCTGAAGAGGGTCTGGAACACCAGAGGTACAAGCGACAGGAAGAGGCGGCAGGGCTGCAACAGCTCCGAGCATTGGCTACCCAGAAAAAGGAGGGTCACTGGAATCACTCCAGACAGCTAATACGCTGCAGTGATTCACTTTTGAGTTCAGAAAGATTAACCCCTGCGGTCGTAGTAAGAGACTCTCAGGAAGGCATCATCTGAAATACAAAAAGCCTCTGTGGACCATGTCTGTGAATCAACCAATCCAACATGCTCCAACCTATCTGTAGTACAACAGGATCTTCTGTAATGTTTGTACTTCTTTACTCTGAAAACACTCTTATTTAATGGGCTCTCCATTTTCTTAAGCACACTGTGCCTTGATCCATTACATCAACGTATAAATCAATCTGTTTCCTAATCTAACATGTTACAAATGGGACTTCACTGCCAAGTCAGCACTTCTGACATCCTGTGAACCTGGAATCCACTCTGAGAGAAAATTAATGCCCCACGCTCTGGCACTTAAGCCCGTCCCTGTGATCTATGCTCGTCGCAGCCCTCTGATCACAGCCCTCTGAAGGCTTTGAAAACAAATTGCATCAATTGCTTTCCTAGCCCAGTGCTTCCATTTTACTTAATAATTCATTCTTGATAAGAAATTCCATTTTATTAATTTGGCTCAGGGAGAAGAGTTTAGCTATCTAAGGACAGAAATTCAACTTGGTAAAAACTGCTTCCAGTAACTTGATTGAAAACATGGAATGGCTTAAAGCAATAAATAAACCTAAGTCTGAACCCAACTTAACCCCAGCCCTGTAATCACCACCTCTAGAGATGCAGCCCCGAGGCCCCCCTAGGCCCCTCCCTCTGTTCCAAGGGGCCCAGGACCAATGCAGCCTCCCAATCCAAGCAAACAGGTAAGCCCCTAACTTCCTCCCTCCTTGGAGCTATTACCCTAGAACCTAATCTGGCCCCGGTTTGTGGAAGTGCCCGCCGTGGAGGAGGGAGGCCCAATCCCATGAGTGGATCATGCACGTCTCTGTGGGTAGGAAGGTGCTGCACCTCCCAGGTGTCCAAGCTTCCCTGGGAAGTCAAGTTAACACAAGTCTAGTTCTTTTTTAAAAGGCTTTATTTATTTAATTTTAGAGAGAGGGGAAGGGAGGGGATAAAGAGAGGGAGACAAACACTGATGTGTGACAGACATTAACTGGTGACCCCTAGCACGCCCCTGACCGGGGGAAGCTGGCCCACGACCCAGACCTGCGCCCTGACTGGAAACTGAACTGGGGACCTTTCAGTTTGCCAGCTGGTGCCCAGGTCACTGAGCCACATCAGCCAGGGACACACCATTCTGGTTCCAATGAAGACTGAACAGTAAGCAGTGGTAAGCACCTTTGGGACATTTATTTACTACCTGCATGCTGGTGTGATAACCGAAAGACACAGCACTGGTACTCAAAGACCTTTCAAAATTGAAGCCAGTAAAACAACAACCTATTAATGGATGCAAAAACCCTCCTTATGAATTCATTTCCTGTTTGTTCAGAGTGGTAAATGCTACTTCGTAATTTATAAACTAAAATGATTAAACCTGTGTCCACAAACCTGCGCCTAAGATTTACTTAATTGAACAAAGTTTTAAAAATCCAGTTTCAAAGTAGCTCCCCAAGATGTTTACTAATGACAGAAGGGAAGACAAGTCACTTCCCAGCGGAGTCCCGATGTTCACCTCACCCCACGGAGGAAAGACTGAGGGAGCGACTGCGGTCCTACTACAAACTGGGGAAAAGCTACGGAGGAAGGCCAAGTGCGTGCAAGTGGGGTGGGTCTGAGCAGGACGCTGGAACAGGGAAGA